CCAATCCTTAAAGAAGAAAAACTAAAGAGAAGTCAGAGAAAAAGTCTAGAGAGAGAAAAGGCTAGGACTTAAGGTTATTACAACCTCCACTCATCATTACAAAGAAATCTGTGTAGTCTAGCTGCTCTATACGATTGAACATTAAATCCAACCAACCATTAGACTCAAATTACAATGCAAAATCCCGACATCGCCTTTTAATAGGTCCTATTTTGCACATGTTTTAGGTGGGTATCTAAGCTCATTTGATTACAAAATTAGAGATCTTTGGTGCATATTTGCATTATTTGCTTAAGTTGTGCTCTACTACTCTCCGTTTGTGTGTTTTGATGAATTTCAGGTGATTTATATGCAAATGGAGTATGGTTGGCTAATATTGAGTATAATAATCATGGAGTATGAAAACATATTGCTTAAGAATATCAAATCATGTGTTTGAGACGAACTTGAGTGAAAATGAAGCAAAACGTTGATGAAATACTTGACAAATATGATACCTGTTCACTATTATGCTCATAACTTTTGATATACAAATGATAATGGAGTGATTTAAATTGCATTGGAAAGTAGACTTGAAGACCTTTCCAACGATATATTACACGCCTCAAACAAAGCTCTAGATATAAAGTTATGACTGATTTAAGATAAGTGATACGCGCAGCAGAGCAGGCACGTCCGTGCCTGGAAGACAGACTCAGCAGCGTTTTTATTTTTAGGGAGGCACGTCCGTGCCTCACACTAGGCACGTCCGTGCCTCCTGGGATCCTTGTGCGCCAAGCTTTTTGCCGACTTTCTTATCTTTTCTAGGGCTATTTATATACTAAGTGGTGTTTTATTATTCCATTAGTTTTATTCTAGCCTTTTATTTTTACGTTATTAAGAACTAGTTCTCCATTATTATTTTCTAAGTTTTTGTAATTCAAGATTAAAGATTCAAGCTTTCTACTTTCAATTTTATTCAAGATTTGGTATTTATTTTTCATCCTTTGTTATTCAATTATGTTTTCATTATTTATTATTGTTTTTGTTTCTTTAATCATGTGTGAGTAGATTCTTTAATTCAAGATCTAGTGTAGCCCTATTATTATTGATGCATGAATTAAATCTTTAAATTCTTTAACAACTTTAACAATTGAATTGCTAAATTGATTGTGATTATGCCAATGCTAGGTTAGACGTAACTATAGTATTGCGATTATTCCGTTGTTTTTATCACAGCGAGAGTTGGGTATAAACGGATTTGAGTAAATCAATTTAGGGTTTGATTCTCAACACGAGAGTAGTTGTGTTTGATAATTGGGAAGTGAGAGTAACGTGTTTAATGTCTTTAATATGCATGATACCATGAGAATAGGATTGATTGTATGTTAGGGAAGCCATTGATACTCGAGAGAGATCCTTGGTAATTATTAGGGTTTACTTTTCCCCGTTCGATTGAAATCGTATGTTAAAGGTAGAATTACAATTGCATCGATAATAATTGTGGTGAAACTAGATCTTGGATGTTTTAAGTACTTGATTTAATCATCTTATTTAGTTTATTTTCGAATTCTTCTCATACTTAGTTCCGTAGATAATTGATTATAATTGATCCTTGCTTAGTAGAAATTCGAGTCTATTTAATTATTTTTGAACCTTAGTCTCTTAGGATACGACCCTTACTTGCCAGTCTACATTAGTATTGGTCTGTTAGGTTATTTTTGATAGGTACGCGACACGCCTACCACCTTTGTATCTCTCCACCTCCGTTACCTACTCTTTCTCCAAAGGAAACAATATCATTAAAATGTCCACTGAAGAGCCACGAACGTCAAAACTTGTTCCCAGCTTCATTAAAGGCCTCCTATAGTTCCCTTTTTCTTCTCGAATGTGGACTAGCATAAATTGCTGAAAAAATCCATGGTTCCTCACCCAACATAGACACATGAATAGTGATATGTTGTGAATTCGAATCAAGCACATTAACTCAAATTTCCTTAGCCTTTTTGCGCATTCTCTCCACTGAGATATGTTTCAACCAAAGCAAAAATAGTAGGTTTATTAATTCTAATGACTTCTTTAAGCATAGATAGAAAACTCGGGCTCCCAGCCAACATATCACTTTAATCATAACTTTCAAGTCACTTTAATCAAACTCGGGCTCCCAGCCCCTTGTACATTTCAAGTCATAACTTTAATCAACGTATTAAACGTATCTATGATGGGATTACGATCTAGTACACGAAGTGAATCCTAGGCAGAATCTCCATGAACATATCTTGCAGATCATTCATGGGGTGAACCAACTCCATCGGAACTGAACCAACCAATCAATCAATCAAAGTCTTAATCCCATACGAGGGGTCGGCTACATGAATCAAATTTGATCATTCCGCGTGGTCATCCACAAAAATCTTCCTCCTCCAACCCTTACGATCCAAAACCTCATCCTCATGCAAGTCTATATACTTCATATCCTTCCTAACTCCTTCCAACCTCTTCGTACCAGTGCACCCCGACGATTTTCCCTTAGTTTGTCTGTAATGCCTGCCACACCTACTTTCTTGTGAATAACCTCATTCCTGATTCTATCCCTTAAGGTGTTCCCACACATCCACCTTAACATGCACATTTATGTAACTTCCATCTTTTTAATGTGCTCCGTTGAAGCCCAAGGAATGCTTTTGTGGTCGCTCTCCATTAAAGCCAATCTGACTTAATCCTCCGGGCCACGTCTTCATCAATGTCACCATTTTTCTGGATGATCGATCCAAGATACTTTAAACATTCACTCATGGTCAATTCCTTTCCATCTAGTCTTACCATTTCATCGTTTGTCCTCTGAGTACCAAAGCGACATAACGACTTATCTTAAACCCTCTAGATTCCAACCTTTGCCTCCATTGCTCCAACTTGGCATTAACCCCATCTTTATTTTCATCCACTAAAATGATATCATCCGCAAACAACATACACCATGGAACCTCATCTTGAATTGGTCTAGTTACTTCATCTAGAACCGTTGCAAAAAGAAAAGGGCTTAATGCAGACCCTTGATGCAATGCAATTGTAATAGGGAAATCTTTTGTCAACCCTCCACATGTCCTCACTCACATTTGTTGACACATCCCGATACATATCCTTAACCAGATCCACGTACCTTCGTTGGATACCTTTATTCAACATTGCCCACCAAAGTACCTCTCTTGGCACCTTGTCATATGCCTTCTCTAAATTATAAAGACCATATGAAGATCCTTCTTCTTTACCCGAATAAGATCCATCATTTATTTTATCAAATGGATTGCTTCCATAGTAGATCTCCCAGGCATAAAACCAAATTGGTTTGTGCATGCCCTCAACCTATATTCAAGCACTCATTCCCACAACTTCATAGTGTGGCTCATAAGCTTGATCCATCGGTAGTTAGAATAATCTTGAGCGTCTCCTTTGTTTTTATAAACAGGGACCAAGGTGCTCTTCCTCCAATCTTGCGGGATCCTCGTAGCCCTCCATATTTTGTTAAAGAGGCTTGTTAACCAATCAATACCAATCTTACCCAAACACTTCTACACCTCTATCAGTATACCATGAGGGTCAATCACCTTCTTAGGCTTCATCTTCTTCATTGCAATCTCCACCTCTACTCTTCTAATCCTCCGCTCATATTCCATGTCAATTTCTTCGTCACTATCTCCGTCACAGCTCCATTACTTCCATTAAACAATTCATCGAAGTACCCCTTCCACCTATCCTTGATGTCCTCATGTACTAGGACAATTTGGTTCTTATCTTTGACATACTTTACCATGCCAATCCATCCTTCATTGCCTCTTGTCTTCTCTTTGCCATCTTATATATGATCTTTTCTCCTTCCTTGGAGTCAAGTTTTTCATAAACCTCCTTATAAGACTTTTCTTTCGCTTGTCGAACATCTACCTTTGCCTTACTCTTAGCCTCCTTATACGCTGCAAAGGTTTCATCACTCCTACATTTTTCCAAGGCTCGATAACATTCCTTTTTTTTTGCTTAATTACTGCTTTCACCTCTTCATTCCACCACAAAGTATCTCTCTGCATCGAAGTTCTTCCCCTTTATTCCCCTAAGACCTCTTTGGCCACTATGAGGAAACATTTCTTCATTCATAACCAAGTCATGTTCGGGTCCACCTCTCCATCCCAATCCGCCTCCTTATTACCTTTTCTGTAAAGACCTTAGCATTTGCATCCCTTAGAGTCCACCATCTTATCCTTGGCTCCTCGTCTTCCTTTTTTCTTCGCCTTCTCTTTCAAACGAATAGTCATAACCAAAAGCCGGTGTTGGGTGATCACACTCTCTCCTGGGATGACCTTGTAGTTTAAGCAACTTTGCCTATTCGTGCTGTTGCATTTGCTCCACTCCGGAAAGTTATCAAGTGTGAATCCCTCTTCTTAAACCAAGTATTAGCCAAAATTAAATCATATGAGTGGGCAAAATTCGTAATAGCTTCACTTCCTCCGTCCTTGTGCCCATACCCAAAACCTCCATGAACACTCTCGTAGCCATCTCGGCTCGTCCCTACATGCCCATTTAAATCACCTCCAATATATAATTTCTCTGTGTGGTGGACACCTCGTCTAAATCCTCCCAAAATTGTCGTTTTCTCTTCTGCATCCAAACCAACTTGGGGAGTATAAGCACTAAAACATTCACAATCTCCTTGCCACATAGCAACTTCACCCTTATCAACCTATCATTCTTCCGAAAGACCTCGATTACCTCTTTCAACAACCTCTCATCAAGAATCACACCAACTCCGTTCCTAGCTCCACCATTCCTAGTCCTGTGGCTCGTTTCTTGACCAACGTGCCACACCTTATACCCCAAAACCAAGCCTTGAGCTCCTTGTAAGAGACCCCACATTCCAAGAACCAATCCGCAAACTAAAGTCCTTTCTCCCACGTAGGGGTGAAAGTAATCGGATTGGAATAAGCAATTTAGTTCGTATCGGATTGGAAAAATTACAAAATATGGATTATGGATTGGATTCGGTTTTGGGTTTTTATAAAAATCGAAAATCGAATAAGAAACCAAATTTCCGGCCCAAAAGAGCATAAGCCCAGTTCATCCCTTAGCCAGGCTTCCTACTACCCTTTATATATAAGCTAAAAAAAACCCTAAATACCTTTCTTTCTCCTCTCTTTCACTCCGCCTCTTTCATTCCCCTTTCTTAGTTTCTTTCTCTCTCCTTTTGTTCTTAGATCCCTTTGTTTTCCCCTTTTCTCACGCTCAAAATTTTCAACTAATAATCCTCTTTCTGTATCTTACAAGTTTAGCCCATTTTTTCTTTGACTTCTTTTTCAACCGCAACTTTCTCAAAGACAGCCATGACAACCGCTACAGCAACTGGTTGCCGGCAAGGGTTTTTTTCAAGAATGTTTTGAAGAAATCGCGGGGGAAATGCTTCAAAGTTGTTGATTTTAATTAATTGTGTTATAATTTATAATTTAACCTTTTTTATTTTGTTTATAATGTATTTTATTTTTCTGGGTAATGGGTTGCTGGATCTGAAATTCTATCTAAATTCATGGTTAGTTTGATGTAATTGCTTGTAAATATTAAATGTGAGACTGTATAAGGGTAAATTTTAAGCCTTGTTAAGTTAATTTATAATTTGTAATTAAATTCGTATGAAATTGCAATAATTTTAATAAAAAAATCACAGATCTACAAAAGTAGCCCAAAATTATTTCGGTTTCTGGATTGGATTCGGATTTTGGGTTGAAAATTCAGTTCGGTTTGGATTGGACTAAAGTTCTATTCGGTTTGGTGTATAATCCAAACCGAAATCCGAACTCTCACCCCTACTCCCACGCTCCCACATACCACGCGCACTCGTACCATGCTCCCTCTGTCCCCACTTATGAACTTTAGTGGCAAGAAAATATATTCTAAAGAACACCTTGATTTTTTGCAGGTTGAGGTTGGCGTTCGTGTGCTGGTGAGCCCTAGACCGGAGCACCTACCAGAGCTTGTTCGGTCGTTTGGACACCACTACCAGGGAATCATTTGTTTAAAAATGATTCTCGCTACTTGTAGTTCGTTGATTGCTGGTTATGCAATCAATGAACTACTATCTCACCCAGAGGTATGTTGTAAATTTAAGTTTTTGTATCACTAGTTTTTGTAAGTTTTTATATATAATTAAAAATGTAGTTAACTATTAATTTGTTCGACTTACAGGCTTTCAGGAGAGACTTGTTGGCTCAGCTGGCTATGAAAGCCAGTGAGTTCTACTTGGTGGTTGATGATGTTTCCATCATCAAGGCTAAGGTGAGAAAATAAAAAATAAAAAAGTTATATGAGTTAAGAGTTGTAGCTTCTAAATCTCAATTAGTTAAATATTCCAACATCCAAGTCAAATAATGTTGTTCTATGCTTTTGAATAAATTTTTGTTGTATCTTAGAGTGTTCCCGCACATCAATCTTAACATATGTATTTCTGCAACCTCTATCTTTTTAATGTGATCCTTTCTGTAACATTCTATATCATAAAGCAAAAGCAACACTGATAACACTGATGACAGTCTTATAGAATTTAACTCCTGTGGCCGCTCTCCTTGTAAGCCACCCGACTTAATCTTGTGGGTCATTTCTCGATCCATGTCACCCATTCTTTTGGATGGTTAACCCTAGATATTTAAGACACCCACTCATGGTCAAATCCTTTCATCTTAACTCACTACATCATCGCTTGTTCCCCTCTGTCAGCCAAAGCGACATACCAAGTATTTAGTTTTACCCCGACTTAGCTTCAGTGGCGGATCCAGGATTTCCGAGATAGTGTGTCACCATCAATTATTGATCATTTGTGAAAGTACAATTTTTTTTCCATGTCTTGTTCATAATTAATTTCAATCCAAAAATTTTATATATATATATATATTTCACCAAATTGATTTCAATCCAAAAATAGGACACAAAAATTCATACCACAACCAAATACAGTACTTAAGAATTCAATTTTACAAGTCGAAAATATTACAAATAACATGTTATAAACAAATGGTACAATAAAATTATTATATTGAATTAACTTTATGATTTTTTAGTTAATTGATAAGCTTTATGGGGAAATATTAAAATTGGTTGTACAAATATAAGATATAAAAAGGGAAAAAAAATTATTAAAAAATTATACAAAAAAAAGTGAGATAACTTAAGAGACCAGTTATTAAATATAATTGGTCTCTTTAATGAAAAAAAAAGTAGCGCAAAAAAATTGCGAAATGCAATAGCAGCATCAAAGAGACCTCTTATATAAATAACAGGTCTCTTTAATATTTTAAAAAACCCACAGCAAGTCTTTTGTAGCAATAACAGCATTAAAGAGATCGCCTATCTTAATAAGAGGTCTCTTTAATATTGTTTGTTGTTACCAATAGCAGCATCAAAGAGACCACCTATCTATAATAAGGGGTCTCTTTGATATTTTATTTTAAAAAAAAATACTGTGTCACGGGACCCACTATGACTAAAGGTAGGTCCGCCCCTTCTTAGCTTAAACCCTCTAAATTCCAACCTTTGCTTCTATTGTTCTAATTTAGCATTAACCCCATCTTTAGTTTCATCCACCAAAACGATATCATCTGCAAACAACATACACCACGGGACCTCATCTTGAATTGGCTTTTCGTCTACAACCGTTACAAAAAGAAAAAGTGCTTAGCGGAAACCCTTGATGCAATTCAATTGTAATAGAAAAATCTTTTGTCAACCCACCACATGTCCTTATTCCAATCTTTTGTTGTTACACATCCTAACACATATCTTTAACCAGATCCATATACCTTTGTGGGATACCTTTCTTTAACATTGCCCACCAGAGTACCTTTCTTGGCACCTTGTTATAAGCCTTTTCTAAATCAATAAAAACCTTATGGGGATCCTTCCTCTTTACCCTGTAAAACTCCATCATTTGTCTTATCAAATGGATTGCTTCCATAGTAGATCTCCCGGGCATAAAACCAAATTGGTTATCCAAAATGCTTGTGCATGCCCTCAACCTATGTTCTATCACCCTTTCCCACAACTTTGTAGTGTGGTTCATAAGCTTGATCTCTCGATAGTTAGATAGTTAGAACAATCTTGAGTCTCCTTTGTCTTTATAGACCAGGACCAATGTGCTCTTCCTCTAATTTTGCGGGATTCTTGTAGCCCTCCATATCGTAACCCTCCTCTTTCATCCAGGCTAGGAAACTCATTGGCGGAGTTCTTAGGTGCATATAATAAACAATTAAAAAATTCTGAATCACGGGTGCGCCTATGTGAGCCTATAGACGTGCCTTAGGCGCCCTTTTTCAAACACCGATACTAATTTGATTACCGTGTATCGACCTACCCTTGCATTTTGTTTGTTGTTAAGTCGATTAATTTGTTCATTTTAAGTCTCGAGTCTTGTTATTTGGATACCGATTAATCTTTCGGGATCATGATTACTTTAGTTTGTTATGATATTTTAGTGGTTAATGTTTTGTGTAATATTATCATATATTGAGATGGTTCTAATTTTTAGTAGTTTACCTCTGCTTACTTTCATAATTTAAAGATTTGCTGGTTATAAAAGGTATTCTTTTTTTTTTTTTTTTTCATTGTGTTTTGTTTTTGCAGTTTGCTGGAAATGCCAGTCCATCCTCTTCTGAGCCTAGTACTCTGTCACTTCTTCCCGCCTTCAAAATTGGTACTTTATTTACTTCCTTTCTCATTATAATTTGCATATTTGAAATTACAGTCATGTTGTTGGAGTACTGATTTTCTTTTGAAATTACAGTTGCTTTATTTTTTTTCATCATGTAATATACAGTGACTACTCATATAGTCATATTCTCGTATGCTTTTGTGAAAAATAGAGCGGCAATCTGATAATACGTTTTCTGATGAGGTCTGTTGTGTTTTACATTTGACAGGTTACGCCAAACTTATATGGTAATCTTGTGTCTAATGTTGCTGCTGGTATTGCTGGAGGAACTGGGGTCATGCCAGGAGGTATTGTCCTTTAACCTTTGCAACCTCACTCTTTTTCAGTTTCCTTTTGTTCATTAAATGTGCGTGTCATAAGAACTCTTAAATTTATATTGGCCTGTGCCATATACGAAGTATATGCTTTTTGGTCCTGTTTTATTTAACTTATCACAAAAAAAAAAAAAAAAAAAAAAAAAAAATCACTAAAAATCAGTTTGAATCTTAAATACTGAGTGAAGCTAATTGCTCATGATAAAACACCTTTTTTAATGGATCAGCCCAAAAAAAAAAAAAAATTGTAAAAACCAGTTTTAATTGGCAAAAATCAGTATAATAGAGGGCAGGGCTTTTGTTATGGCAGCTGAATATGATCATATCCCACTTTGGGTATCTAACTATCATTTGTATGTTGTAACTTTGAACATTTAGCATAGTTACTGTAGTGAAATTTATATGAGTGGAATTATTGATCTTAGATCAAAGCATACTCATTGATTTAGAAGCCTGTCATAATTATTGAGCATCTAATAAGCTGGATGAACTTTAGGTAATGTCGGTCCTGAGCATGCTGTATTCGAGCAAGGTGCTTCAGCTGGAAATGTTGGGAAGCTGGAATTGGTGGAGCAAAAGAAGGCAAATCCTGTTGCTCTGCTTCTCTCTTCAGCCATGATGTTGAGGCACCTTCAGTTCCCTTCGTTTGCAGATCGATTAGAGACTGCTGTGCAGCATGTAATCGAAGAGGGCAAGTACCGAACCAAGGATCTTGGTGGTAATAGTACTACTCAACAAGTTGTTGATGCCGTTTTAGCCAATCTGGATTGATGATCTACTGACATTTCCTTACCATACTGCACATTGTTTCGGTCGTTTCCTTGCAACATAACAAGTGATTCTTTTCGGGGAGATAATTCTCTCCTTGGCAGAGTTCCCTTTTTGAAACTTTTTTGGGTATGGGAAATTTTTTTTAACTTTCCTTTATCAGCTACTGAAGTTTTGCGTTCTCTTAGAATTGAGGATTCATTAATACCAAATCTTTGTTACGATTACACTGAAACTACTTCAGTAATAAATTTTGATTTTCAGTCTTTATTTTAAAGATCAATTGCAAAAAACTAAAGGGTCAAGCTAGAACTCTTTTTCCTCAACAGATAATCTGTTTGTTGTGTAAAAGTGGTGGTAGTTTTTAGTATTATTGATAAAACTAGGTGGTAAAATACAATAAAAAAAAACTTGAGGTGGTATTGTACAAAATGACAACAATAGATAATGGTATTTTTCAAATTTTCCTAAAATTATAATTCGGGACAATACCTGTCGGATTCATTGTCTTTCATTTAATTTCTTACTAGTTTAGATCCCGTGCCATGCACGGTTATTGTTAAAGCTATCATATCATTAATCATTTTGACTTAACAAAACATCTTATATCAATCACTAATTATAGTTTTATGAAGATTATTATATACGGTACACTAAGGTGCAAAAGTATTTCTTGGTCATTAATAATTAAATGAACAATATTTATCAAAATACGCAAAAGATAATCTTGAGTACACATTACACCCAAATAATATAAGAATTTCTATCACTTTTCTTGATTTGACTTTTGCACAATTTACGTACATCACATTGACCAACGTTTGTTATAATCATATCAATGTATAGTTTTCGAACATTTGTAAAAAATAGAGGGAGTATAATCTTCACATTTCAAAGGTTATTTTACACAGTAAATAAAAGAAGTTGACTCAAAAAAAAAAAAAGAGTAATATCCTGAATTCCTGACACATTAGCTATATTATCGACGACAATAATTTTTATTGTAATGTACTCCGTAGCTCAGGTTGGATTATTTAAAGAATAACAACAGAGTTTGAAGATTGATCTAACCGACTAAAGGTTTGCTTATTTTCGGCAATTGTTTAATACAAATTTTATTTATATCCATATAGCAAACCCATGGAAAGGATTAATATTGCAGTAAAAACAATATTAATCTAAAAATACCTTAATAAAAAGAATATATTTATAATTTTCAAATTTTTATTAATATAAGATGTACTATTTTCCCATCTATGTGATCTTTTTCTAATATAGATCTACTATATTTTTTCATATAGGGAAAAAAAAAATCATATCAATAATAATATAGTACAACATGTCACAAAATTTGTCTAAAATTTGATCACAAAGTACCTTTTTATTTATAATTGTCATTATTGTATGTTAAAAGAAACGGAGTATATTAAATCTTTATTTTAAGTAATTACTATTTATTTTTTTTAATGGAAGTAATTACTATATTGATGAATTGAAGATAGTTATTATGTGAGTAAAAGATCTATTTAAAATTTTTTTTTAAAATAATTAAATTAAGGACACATCAGAAAATGACACGTGTCATTGCTGGTGTGTCTTTTAGTATATAGTATTGATTTCTTTAATTTCTTTATCTGATAAAAGGGGTTACTGAGTGCATCAGTTATACCCACGCATAAAATAGCATGTAATGACTAATGAGGAACACGAGAATTAAAAACAGCAGAACCAAAGTTGATATAACAACAAATCAAATTTCAAACCACACATAAACAAGGAACGAAATCATCTTCAGACTTTAATTACAAAATGCATTTGCATAACATACCCTTATATGAAGTAACAAACAGCACCAAAACCTAAGTCGATATAACAAGAAATCAAAGTTCAAACCACACACAAACAAGGAGATCATCTTCAGACTTCAGTTATAGAATGCATTTGCATCTTCAGACCAAGAGTTTCTAAGAACTCTGACCGATTGCTATAGTATGACATTTAGCTCATTTGAAATCCATGCTGCCAAATCTTATTAGTTAAGGCTACATGGTATGTCTCTATCTCACCTTTGAAAATTTCAGTTGAGTCTTGAAAGATAAACTCCCTATTCCCCTCCACACATTCTCGCTGTCACTGGTGTACAAGGTTCAGCACCATCAAATCACCTAAGTAAAATAGAACAAGTTCAAGCTGCAATTACCTTTGTAACTTGTAGGGAGACTGCTTTTGGTGACGGTCAATTAGCAATTTCATGTTAATAGATTCTGAAAATGGAGTGTGAGTGGATTACATCTAGCATCCCCTTACAGTCTTAAATTGCTTTGAAAGTTTTTGGTGGTGTATTTGTTGCAAAACAGTAAATTAAGAAATTTGTTTTCTTTATTCTACACATGATGCATTGATACTTAAGCTATCTTCAATCTTAGTGACTACTCTGTATTGTTCCTGTTCTTTCATAAAAAGGAAAAGATGATATTTTTTCAGGCTATTTAACAACTTATTCTACCTATTTTGTACGAGTAATTTCGGTTTTAGTTTTGTCATAAATCATTAACTCTAAACACTTGGGTGATGCTTTAGTGGATCTTAATCCCAAGTTTATTATCATTTCCGTGTTCTAAACCCATACCTTATACCTAAATTTCTTGAACCAAACAGCCCCTAAAAGATCTTGAGAAAAAACATGGACCCCTCCATAGTGAGTGGTGACCTCCAATCCATGAAAAATAACTATGACAGATCCATCCTATCTTCAATTATTGTACCATAGACATCCCTACACACCACCTTTTTTCACTCTTTCTATCTCTCTTCCTTGTACCTTTATATTTTTTTCAATAGTCGTGACTTGTGAGACATTGTTGTTTTATTGCACTAACATTCCATTTACTAAATTAAAATTCCTCATTCTTGTATATTCTTTTATTTTTAATAAAGTAAAAAAAAAAAGATAAAATATTAAAAAATCTATTTTTAATAGAGTAAGGAAAAAAAACATTAAAAAATCCTCTACATGAGGAGAATTGCTAATGCACCATATACTTGTATAGTGGGTGCCCTAATTTATTCATCATTTTTAAAATTCCCGCGAGACATGAATTCTCCCTCCAATTTATGCAAAATGAACACCATTAAAACCAGGAACTATCAAAAGTTCCAATTTTTTTTTTCCAGCAAATTGTAACCATGTCAACTGATGATCAAGATGACCTCGATCTCCTTCTCTCGCTTCAAGATCGTGTTCTTGAAACCCCTCCTTCTCCGTCTTCTTCCCACCCCAGATCCCATGGTAATCAATATTTCTTGGAATCAATTTCTTTTAAATTCGATTATTTTCCTTCAATCTAAGCTATAATTTTTTCATTCAGTACATAGGTATTTGAGATTTGCATGATCTGCTTCAATTTTCACTGACGCATTTACACAAACCCTTGGCAGGCATTCTAATTTTAGGGTTTTTTCATTCATCTTTTTCTGGGCCTAGGTTTAATTTTGCAGGGTATCAATCAGACGATGAAGTGCGACGTCGAAGTGGAAATCTGTCTGCCTTCAAGACTGCTGTTGAGGATTGTATGGATTATGATGTTGAAACAGCTACGAAGGCTCTCAAATCAAAGAAGCCAACTGATCTTGATGTTGAAAAATTTTCTGGTCTTCGAATCCGGTATGCTTATTCTAGAATGCCCCCAACTAGTTTTCTGGATAATTTTTGGTTTTTTTGTGGGGGTTGATACAAGAATCAAATGATTTCGTCAGCAGAGCTGAGCAACCAGTTTTCAGATATTCGATTTGTCCGATTGTCTACCATAAAGTAGAAAATGATTGATATTTGGAGAAGCTGCTTTTAATGTGTTGGTGTTAATAGGAATGTGATTAAAGCCTTAAAGGGGACAGTGGGACACTCTATCTGGTAGTTGGGCAACTGTTGGCGTTTTAACCGAAAAGACAAGCTCTACTGGGAAGAGCTATAGCATGTGGAAGATTGGGTGTTTGGATGGGCAGTTCACAACTGTTTTCTTGTTTGGTGATGCTTACAAGCAGCACGGCGAAGACACAGCTTTATCAGTTTTTGCCTTCTTCAACGCTGGTGCTCGCAAAGATTCTTCTGTATGAAACTGTCATTTGCAATTGGAGTAGCTTCTGTCATTGTTAAATTTACTAGTTTATGAGTTTGTCTGAATTGAGATTTTAGAAACCAGAAAGTATCGATGTTAATGTGTAGAATAAATATATATCAAACTTACGCAACAAGATACTCCAATGTTTATCATGGAATATGAGAAAATATTGTTATCTTAGGAAACGAGGTTAAGGGTTGTGGCTATAAATAAGAGTATTGAGCACTAGAAAAAACCATAATAATATTGTGAGTTTAAGACTTTGAGGTATTAGCCAGATAGGATTTGTTTGTGTTTCACCAAAAAAAACCATGATAATGAATAATCCAATTCCAAGCATAGACGAGAGAATTAGATGTTATCGTTTACAAGCAAGCAAGCACCCGGGTTGGTTATCGGGCACAGACATAGCCGGGAAAGCATGGAAGGATTCGTTGTGGGGTTATATTTTTGGTATTCCAATCCCTCTTACTAAAATTTCCGAAAGACAAGAACAAAGACACCGCCTCCAGCAGCTATCTAAGACGAGGTGTTCTAAATCGACGCTATTAACCCCGAAAGTTTTATGTCGGACTCCGATAGGCCTTTTATTTAGGGTTGTGAGCGTGTTAGAGGGCATATCAAGGAACGTCGTCTACAAATTACGTGATAACAACAGGTCTGCTATGGATGATATTCTTATCGCCGGATGCAGCGCCATGTCTGCTATATGCCTGTAGGCGGTTGGATCTACGGATTTCGCGGTCTTGGCAATGTTGTTGTCTCCGCCTTGGGCGGTCTTGTAAACGCGGGTTTTGAGGCTTATAAGTCTAGTGTGTCGAGTTTTAAATAAGTATTAATTATTTGTGAGAGATAAAAATATTATTAGCCTAGTCTTTTATGTTCCAATTCAAGAGTAAACATCATTCAAGATTTTTTAATTATTATTATTGGTGGTATGGAAATTTTTTTTTTATATATCTTCATAATAATCTAGGTCTATTATTTACAACTCTCTTATATCATTGCAGGCATTCTTTTGTGTTCTATTCTATGTGACATAAAATTCTAACCATGCATATATCCATTATCACATTATTTTTTTAAATACTTTTGTTGATTACACCTTACTTTCACTTGTCATGTATGATAGTTCGTTTAAATTATACTCGCAAATTTTGTACCATATGATGCTTTTAGAGTTGAGGTTATGGCATTGGTTTGAGACTTAAAGGGCTGGATCGGAATTGGCTCGGCTCGCAATATTCATATAAGCAACCTCATGATCCAATATTCTAGTGGATTGCTAAACATCGCCTGCAAATCTCTACATAAAACCCATAAAATTCACTTGATTTGACAATATTGCCCTTGACCTAAAAAAAACACTCACACTCTCATCACTCTCACTCTCATCGCTCATCTTCTTTCTACATCTCTAAAAAAAAATCAAACTACGGCAATGTCGAGGTGGCAAGGCAAGGAATTGGCAGCGGCGGCGAAGGGAAGGAGGTCTCAAGGAGGCAAGGTACAATTTCTTAAAAAAAAAATATGAAAACCGTCGTGAGGGAGGTGGGGCGCCTTGGCTGGACGCCCAGCCAGTGGTGGTGGCGCCAGCTGCAGACGCCGCAACCAGTGGGCTGGACGCCGTAGCCACGGCTGCTGCGCCTTGAAAAAACGCCACAACCGTGGCTACGGCGTCCAGCCCAGGCGCCAACCCACTGGTTGCGGCGTCTGCAGCTGGCGCCACCACCACTGGCTGGGCGTCCAGCCAAGGCGCCCCACCTCCCTCACGGCGGTTTTCATATTTTTTTTTATTTTTTATGTTTATTATTTTTTTTTTTGTAATATCTTTTTCAATTGTTTTTATATTTTGTTGTTTATTTTTATAAATTTTTTCAATTTTGTTGTATTTTTCTATGTTTATATTTTGTTTACAATTATTTGTTTGTTTTATTTGTACATTTTTATTTTTATTCTCTATTTCAATTTGTTAGTACATTTTTTTTGTTCATTTGATATTGTTTTTGGTTATTTAATTTATTTTAATTTTTATTATTGATTTATAAAGTCTTAAAAGGACGCTAGACAAAAATCAATATAAGTTCAGTAAATTATCAAATAAAGCGACTACACCTAATTGAAAACCAAAACTAAATTGCGAATGAATTATTTATGTTTATATATATTCTTATGTGTTGGTTTTATTTCCTTTCTTAGGGTATTTTTTATTCTATTATTTTTATTTAAGTGTTTTGTTAATTTCTTTATTATGTTAATTTGTTAGTATGTTTTTAGTTTATTTGATTTGGGTATTGGTAGCTATTTTCCGTATAATTTTTTGAATGTTTATATATTTTTAAATTTTTTGTAGAATTCACTGGGTCGTCATGGTGCGGGGAAGAATGTAGAGCTTCTTAGTAGAAGCTATTCAGTGGAGAGGTCGGGGCATAGACATGTTAGATCCCGTGGTATTTCGGCCTCGGCTCGTAGAGAACGGATCCACCGTCGGGATGAGGATGACGATGACGATGATGATGCTGAGGAGGGTGACCAGGAGGAGGAGCAGGAGGAGGGCGCATATGAGGATGAGGATGTAGACGATGGGAGTGGACTGTATGATGATTATGGTCCATTCAGTCAGAGGGTTGATGACATGTACGAGACACATATGGTGGAGGTGCGTAAGGGTAGGGGTGGTAGGTTTGTTAGTAGATCTGGCACATCATCTGCGTCCACTGTATCTGGGGCAAGCAGGAAACGGTCGAGGGTCGTTAATGATTCTTGGGTTGTTAGGAGTGAGGTGCCCAGTGGGCCTGTTGACGGGAGTGTGATTCCTAGCTTTCTAGTACACATAGCTGCCCGTATTTGGGAGGACCAGGAGAGGCCTTCAGTTACGGGGTTGTTGAAATGTCATACCCGGGAAAAGACTTGTAGCTTTTTGCGTACATGGGCTGAGGCTTGGCCGGCGGAGAGCGAGATGTTCGAGCGACTGGAGGGCACTGGGGTGAATCACGTTCCTGCCACCATGCACGATAAGATTGACAGTACGCTGATCACGGCTTTCGTTGAGCGATGGCAGCCGGATACAAACTCTTTCCACCTTCCGTTTGGAGAGATGATAATCATGTTACATGACGTCGAGGCCATTCTGGGGATTCGTGTTGAGGGTAAACGACTTTGTGCTGTGGCTGATGCGGATCAGGCAGATTTGCTGGCGGAGTTGTTGGCGGTGGACAGGGCTACACTGTACACCGAGGCGCTTAGTGTTTGGGAACACGGCGGTGTGAAGATCGCATCCGTGTTGCAGTGGTGTTTGAACCCCAGTGCACGTAGGACGCACGACGCACAGCTGGCTGCTTATGTTTTTCTACTCCTCGGATGTACCTTGTTACCGGATAAGAGCGGCGGAAACAAGCTCAGGCCACGCGACGTAGTAGAGGTGTGTGACCCCGACAGTGTAGGCCAGTTTTCTTGGGGATCGGCTACGTTGGCGTATTTGTATCGCCAACTAGGATTTACGAGTTGGGCTGACGCGGCAGGTATCACTGGGTGTCTGACTTCATTGCAGACCTGAATATACGAGTACTTTCCTGCATTGCGACCACATCGTGACCCGGTTCCTATTGATGAGGGGATGCCGCGTGCTTGTGCGTGGAGTCCGCGCTCGGAGAAGAAGTCCGTTGACCGCCTCCGATCGACACGGTTATTGCTTGACAGGCTGTCCCCCTTAAAGGTAACGTTTTATTATTATATGCACATATTATATTCATGTTATTAAATTTTAAAACTATGTGCAGGTGAACTGGATGCCTTTCGGCCCGAACCCTAGTGTTAGGGTACCCAGGACCCTGTACACGGGACTCATTCAATATCGTGAGATCGTAGAGGCGTACATGCCCCAACGTTGTCTTTGCCAGCTTGGATTTGTCCAAGTTGTACCTCCTCCACCGGCATGCCCGATGAAGGCAGTCCGACCTGCATCGTCGAGGGATTACGTCGTGCAATGGCCGGATATCATGACTGGGACGTGGGACCAGTTTCCGATGGTGGCCCGCTTATGGACTGCGGAGTTGCAGAGGCCGCCCTCTGGGGTTCCTCCCATGTGTGACCAATACTACATGGAATGGTTCAACCGGTATTCGCAGCTGAGGTTGATTGCAGATCTCGACCACAGCGATGATGATTATGTGCCACCGCCTACTGCCATGGAAGCGGTATATCTCATAAAATATTTATCGTTGTTTTTTAATTAAGTTTTATATGTTGTTATTGTATTTCATCTTTTCTTTTTTGTTGTATGCAGTGGATGGGAAAGATAATGCAGGGCGTACAGAAACTCTCTCTGGAGAATGACAGCATGAGTGCAACAGTGAGAGCTGCTGTTGATAGTCTGGAACAGACCCTTGCGCATTGGGAGTCGGCGTCGAAGAGGGATTACTGATGGTTTTGTCATTTTATTTATAGAGCACTTTAAATATTATCATTTTAATTTATTAAATTGGACATTATGTTTTAAGTTTGTAACATTTTAGATTGTTCTTTTAGCTTTCAACTTTGACATATTATCATTGCCGTTTTTAAATTTTGACATAACCGTTCGTGGATCCGCGCAACTTACCCATGCAACATATAGAATGCAGTAAGCAATACAATATAAAAAATTAATGTTCTCATTAAAAGAGCAACGTACAAATAAAGTTACATAGGAAGAATGTAAACATGAAAAACTTAAATGCAGTTAGGGTGTTCCATTCGTGGATTCGGTCATGATATAGTGCATCCAACCCTCTACGCTCGCTATGCGAATGGTGTACCACCGAGGTATAATCGGTGGCACTGGAAAATCGGATGACACGTCTAGTCGGATGAAATATCTGTATGACGACCTAAGAAACGCAATAGCTACCTCTCTGACCGGTGTGGTGACAGTCTCACGCGAACGCCAAGGGAGAACCGTGGTATAAGGATAATAAGCTTGACTATGCAATCCCAGCCCAAAATGCATGACTGCGCACTTGTAAATGTTTGCAACGGCAAACAGATCTAGGGGCGCGTCAAAATAATGATTTTGACCGCAAGGTCCACATCCCCACCGGATAAGCCGCAGAGCGCCATCCAAGTCATCCTGGTACACATGACGATAAACATTTCGGTTAGAGGCAATTTCGTTGTACATCAACTGACGCACCAAACCGTAGTTGTCTTCGCCCATTTGAAAAACATCAGCCACGACCCGGAATTCGCAGTTACCATCTCCGACTACATCATTCCACTCTTCCAAGTACAACATGATGATCGCAGGTATCCTGTCCTTGTACGGAAACTGATCAACATCGTTTCTTCCTATTCACCATATAATTAAACACAGTTAAGAAGGCAGAAGTAACCTTATAAACAATGTGCAATGTAAAAAACCAAAACGTACCAGTTCTCAGGGGCATATTCACAGACGATGAAGATTGACTACGACTAAATGACGATGTCCGACCACGAGAACGACCACGACCAAGACCACGGATATACTCAAACGCACTCCTGTTCCGCCGTTGCCGACCTCGAGGACGGTCAACTCCTTCGGGTTCCTCAAAATCTAAGGTAGACGTAAGGAACATGTCATGAAGTACATGAGTAGCGTCACGAATAATAGAAGGATGACTGGAGGACACTCGGTCGTAAATCAAACGAAACTACTCCAACTCCTCCTGTTCACGGTCGGCCGTTTGAGTATCTGCATACTCACCAATAACGAGCGTCCGCCAGAATGAATGAACCTGATCAACATGTAACGACGCCTTTTCTTCTGTAATAACGCGGTGAATGGTGCATGCGCAAGGTAATCCATGAGTTACTGAAATAGCACACCCGCACTGAGCATACACTTCGTCAGCCAAGTCCCTCATCTTGTTCAGCTCAGTGAGAATCAACCCCAAGCAGTAGTGCGACACACGACCATGGAGAATCTTAAATATGAAAGGGCTATACATCGTACCATGTCGTCGTCTGGATTCCTCTAGAGAGATCCTGATGCCGTTCTTCTGAGTTTCAATTGACTTGTTAAGTCTATCGAACAGTGTATCCAAAGCAGCGGTCGATGAATCAATCCAGTCCTTGGTAGCTCTAAGAGCGCTCTCAACTCTACATGTTGTAGTGTTCCCGAAATGAAGTACCTGGTTTGTCCAATATTTGACAAACTTTTCCCTGTGAGGGACCCATTGCTGCATCACATAGTCCACCAGTGCCGGACACCACTGGTACGAATCCTTGAAGTTAGCCAATTCTCGCTCGTACGCTTCCTCTGTGGTAGCCTGTAGGATCTTCCGCCACTTACCATTCACCAATCTCTCTGTCATTTCCAAATTCTTGTTGAAAAGGTTGTAGGCTTTCACTTTCATACAATTGTTGATGTGCCATGTGCACAATAAGTGCTTCGATTCTGGAAACAGCTCTGCTATGGGAGCAAAGAGACCTCCCTCACAGTCACTGACGATGGCTGCTGGATGAAGATTAGGCCCGATGTAGTTTCTCAGCTTCTCCAAGACCCAATAATAACTTGGAGTCGTCTCATCCTTGATGATTGCATGACCAATAAGAAAGTTCTGGTTCGTTGGAGTCATCCCCATGATCTCAACCAGTGGAAACTTGTACTTGTTTGTCTTGTACGTTGAGTCGATCAAAATCACAAATGGCCAAGACTTGATCATATCAGCACAATCAGGATGCACAAGGAAAAGATGAGTCACCTCCGTTGTATCTTCATCAGAATCAAACCAGAACAGGTAACCACGTGATTGTGCCTGGTGTAGCAGCTGCTGTATAGGGTTCCTTCCCTCTGACCGTTCAAACCTGAGTTGCTGTCTGACGTTGTAGATGTGTCTTCGGTTTGGATGGTCTTCTGGAAATTTCTCTAACACAGATGCTAATATTTTAGCAGGCTTGACTTGAGCATCACTCATTTCTTTCACAACTAGTTTCGCAGCAGGACTTAAGTCGCTCAGCTGTCGATGACCCTCTTCATATACTATTATCTCATGGTTGTGATACCCCCATTTAGAGTAACCAATCACTTCCCAACCGTCACGACTCCGTAGTTGTCGGACCTTTACTCTGAACTCACACCCACAACCTTTCCGCTTTGTATCAAACCGAGTGGCTGTACGAAAATTTTTTCTTCTCTTTTGCGATAACGGTCACATTTCAAAATGCGATCCATTCTACCATCCCGTTGAGATTTATGAGTTACTACTACCAAGCAAAATCCAGCTGCAATTGCAACCTGTTTTGCCTAATCAATCGCTTGTTGAGCTTTTTCGAATGGACCATCATGTCCAAATATCCCACTGTAATCATTTCCGTCACCACCATAATCCTGCATCAATTATATATTATAATAAATACATTTAACGGATAATACATTTAATTTCTATATTTACACAGAATTAACACAAAAAAAAACATAATTATGTATAATATTATTCATACACATACACATACAAATTTTAAACACAATCATTTATAAAAGTCACATAAACAATTAAATATTTTGGTGTACATTAATACAAATCTACTCACTACATACATAAAAACATTAAATTCTTAAACATAATTTAAAAAAAACACCGTTTTGAATTTTCAATTTGAAATAAATTAAAAACAAAAAAAAAAAAAAAAAAAAAAAAACCATTTCCAATTTATTTTTTTTAATACAATTTCGAATTGTCAAACTTAATTTAAAAAAAAAAAACCTTTCTCAATCAAACTTAATTTTTAAAAAAACCCAATTCGAATTTTCAAACTTAATTTAAAAAAAATACCATTTCGAATTTTCAAACTTAATTTTAAAAAAACCTATTTCGAATTTTCAAAATTAATTTTAAAAAAATCCATTTCGAATTTTTAAAAAAAAATCATTTTCGATATTTAAAAAAAAAATAAAAATAAAAAACAACAACAAAATCAAAAAAGAAAAAAAAAATAGGGTGGCGTCTGCCAGGGCCGCCACAGCCACTGGACTGGCGCCTGGCAGGGCCGCCTCAGTCAATGGAGTGGCGCCGTGGTCTGGGCGTCTGGGCTAGACGCCGGTGTGGTGGTTCTGGCGTCTGGCTTGGACGTCCATGCTACGGTAAGGGCGTCCATCCTAGGCGCCGGAGCCACTCCTACGATAAACCGTGAATTTTAACGGTGACTTACCTCGTTTACCGTCGACGACGACGTACCTCCGGCGTCCCCCGCATCTCCGGCCTGCCCTCCGGTCTCCCCCGGCGAGCCAGTACGGCTCCACATTTTTTAAATCGAGATTTGTTCAATTTTAGAAAATGGGCATAATTGTCACACCAAGTCATATTTGTGGGCTTTATATGGTAATTTGCGGGCGATGTTTAACAAATCCCAATATTCTATCATGTGTCAAAAAAGGATTGGTTTTTAGAGGTGCTGATTGGTTAATTTAACCAATTAAAGGGGTGGACACAATCGAATCGAATAGATATCTATGGGGAGCACCCCTAGCTCTCCTAAAAATTGTCCACCAATTCAATAAATGTATTTTTTTGATGTGCCATAATTATTTAACATGTGTAATAATCTCAAGAACTAAATTTGTTGATGTTCTGAGTTTTTTCTAGCATCTGCCTCAAGAAAATCCAGACACGGTGCTTTTATGGACTGACATCCCTGCTTTTTGGATTACTAATTCAGATAAATGAAGTTCTTCTCTGCCATAAAAACCAAATATGAGAGAGAAAAATTGAAGGTCCTTGTAGCACTATAACTTGTTGAACCAAAATATACGTCCCCCTTGAAATAATCAACCTACACCTTCCCAATAATCAATTGCTCCTATTTTCAAGGATGGCAAATTTATACACTTCCTTGACCCCATCCTTTTTGTACCCGTTTAAGAGCTTGTAGTGCTAATCCGCTGCCATCCTCTCTGTTACAAGTGAAAAGTAGAACAAATGCAATAAGCTAACATATTAAAGCACGGTACCCATAATAAAATTAAATAGTCTTAATGCATTTGATCAACAATGCTTTAACATTGACATAAAGAGTAGCATATAGTGTTACTATATTTAAGTGGCATGGTAGAATCTTGGTTTGGGAGTAGGGTAACAGAAGAAACTGTTATGGAGAGTGCTCCCAAATGAAACTTCGGGGACCTGCCATTAACATCACTCGTCTCTAGTGGACGGTGACAGAGAACTGAGATTCTTCCTAAAGAACCTCATGACCAAGTGTCCATGATAGATTTCCACTAACTCATTGCAGGGGTTAGGGCAAAGGCCACTGATGGTCTAGTTGAAGTAAATAATCATGAATGACCACACCCAAAATAGTGTGCTGGTCGACGACAACCCCTATGTTTGAAGGAGTAATAATGTGTACATCTTGATCTTTCCAGAATTCAGTCCTCTAAAAACAGCCGGTTAGGAGAATTTGTCACTTATCTATCAGTATACCACACCACTTACTAAAATGCTAATCTATAAATAAAAATAAATTTTAGAAGTGCAAGATTTGCGAAGTACTAATGGGTTATATTCATACCTGTGCACTATATTCCTCCATTTGCCTTCTCCTATCTTCTTGAGCTTTACATAATTGTTCTGACAAACTTTATTAGTAATCTCTCCCTGCTCTGACATGATCATCATCCTCTCTGCAAGTTCATCTGCTTCATGTTTCTTCCCTAGTTTACGTAAGGCATCAATCACTGGCATGAATGATGCATGATCGAATATGTATTCTTTATCAATCAATTTGATGAGAGTATTCGTAGCATCACCCAGCTTTTCATTCTTGCAGAGTTGGTCGAGCAGATCGTTGTAATTGAAGTTTCCTATATAAAGGCACAGATCTAATGCAATTTCAAATAATTCGCAAGCTTCCATAATCTCTCCTCCAAGAAGTAACTCATTGAACATAGCGCTGTAGAGTGCTTCCTTATGTCCACATGTACTGAGTGCAATTTCAAAGACCTCTTGTGCAGCTCTAAATTCACCCTCTCTGCAAAAGGCTTTAATTAGCACTCCGAAAGAATTAATGTTAGGTGCCACTCTGTTCTGTAACATCTCATTCAAAAGAGACATGGCATTGTTGGTTTGACCAACGTCACAGAGACAACCAATTATAGAATTATAGGTGAATACACTTGGAGCGATCCCTCGTTCTCTCATTTCATTGAGAAGTCCATACATTTCAAAGATTTGATTCTTTAACCCCAAGCCCATAATCAAAGAATTATAAGTTTGCAGATTCTTGTCCAGCCCCCTTTTCTCCATGTCCTTGAGAACCCGAAATGCAGATGACATCTTCCCAACTTTACAGTAACTACGTATAAAAGTATTGTATATAATCGAATCAGGGTATAGATTTTTACCTACCATCTCAATCAACTTATTTTTAGCATCTTCAAGCCTTCCAGCTTCACATAACTCCTTAATTATCATTGAATATGTTATTATGTCAGGGCAGCATTTCTTCTCATCACTACCAGCATTCAGTAAGCTGATGTACTTGTTTCCTAGATCACCAAGAGCGGCCTTTCCACGGTTCCACATTCCATCAACAATTTCAATAGCGTTATCCAGCTTTCCACTTCTGCAGAGACCCCGTATCACTATATTACACGTTACAGTATCCAAGTCGTAGCCTTTCTCATTCATCTTTTGCAGCAAGCTCTCTGCTTCTGAAGTTTTTCCTTCATTCCACAGACTGTGAAGCAAAATATTGCAGGAATATATATTTGGAAAACATCCAGCATTCATCATTTCATTCAAAGTAGTATTTGCTGCAGCTACAATCCCTCTCTTACAGTATCCATGAAGCAAAGAGCTATAAGTTATTGTGTCAGGCTGTATACCGCAATTTTTCATCAAATTAATCATCTTTTTTGCATCAGATAACATATTATTCTTGCACAACCCATCAATTACAATGTTATATGAGTAAATATCAGGCTCGTTTCCCTTTTCTAACGTCTCCTTAAGAACTATTTGTGCTTCTAAAAGCTTCCCCTTCTTCACCAAACCCATCAACCATATATTATAACTCTCCAACGACATCAAACAATCACTTTTCTTCATCGTATCAACCAAATTCTCAGCTTCCTCGAGCATCCCTGTCCTGCAAAACCCCTCGAGCATTTGGTTGAAGGTAACAATATTGGGTCTAGGTAAACCAAGTGCATTGTCTATCTGCATATCCCTGAATATTCTAGAAGCTTCTAGCATCTTCCCTGCCTTACACAGAGATGCAATCCTAGAATTGAAAGTGACAACATCCGGAACCAGACAATCTTTACTCATCATTTCCACCAACTTCTCAGCCTCAACATCCTTACCCTCTTTACAAAAGCTAGAAATCAAAGTATTATAAACAACCTTGTTAGGAACCAAACCATATCGTCTCATTTCATCCAATATCACCAACCCTTCCGTCGCAAGCCCGGTCCTACAATACCCACGAATTAAAATCCCAAAACTAAACTCATTCGGCTTACAACCTCTCTCAGACATTTTGTCGAGCACCTTGCGTGCATCCTCCAAATGACCCGAATCACACAAACCCCTGATCAGAAGATTGAAAGTGTAAACTTCAGGCGAAACCCCAGAAACGAACATGTCTTTATACAGCAATAGAATCCAATTATCCTTATTATCTCGAACCGACGACTCAAGAAGCACATTGTAGACATAAATTGGTGGAGGATTATCAGGGAATTCTTTCCGGGTAGATTGAAATTGTGAAATTGCCTCGTCAACAAGGCCGGATTTGGCTAGAATACGAACAAGGGAAAACAGAGGAGGAATTGCTGATTCTTTGTGAAGAAGAAGGTGTTGATGAAGAGTGTCAATTTGAGAGTACATTTTGGCGCGAATAAGAATCTGGGCAATTATAGGTAAAGAATTTAGGGGAGAGAAAGATGAAGAAGAAGATGAAGATGAAGGATTGGAGATGATGCGATTGAAGATCTGCCATGCTAATGCAGGACTTTGGGAGTTCTTGAGAAGTGCTTTGTTGAACGTACTTTGGTTCATATGGATATGATGGGGATTTTTGGGAAAAAGGCGGGAAACCAAAAACTAATACTCGTGCGATTACTTCGAGTATTATTCACAATATTAAGCATGAGAGAAAATATTTTCAAGAAATAACAATTATAATTTTATAAGCCATTTGTGAATTTTGGGCGAGATTTATGACAAACATTTAAAAAAACGGATGTACAATAAAATATTGTACATCCGCTTTAAAGTTACCTTAAAATACTTAAAAGTTTGCCTATAATAAATAAAAGTTACCCTGATATAATAAAAGTTATTTAAGCTTTAAGAAAAAAAACAAAGTAGAGTTTAGGAGGGAAAATTTCTTCCAAAAAAAAATCATTTTTAAATAGAGTAACTAGTTTTGTGCTCAGGCGATACCCGGATTGTTTATAAAGTTTTAGGATAAACTTTTTGGCTTGAATATTTATTAATACAGTCATATAATCCCTTTTGATAAAGCACGATATATAGACATACGATATTCTATCGCTTATTTATAGAATAGTGTACTTTTTGTAATTTTGTTTGTAAATAGATTTTTATGTTATTATTGACTCGAAATTGTTGTTATTGAATTTAAATTATTTTTAATAAACTGAAAATATTTTTACCAAACCATAATTATTTTTACTCGTTAAAACTTATTTTTGTTGATGCCCCGGGTTCCTTCCGTAATATATATCCTTAAAAATCCTTACATTAATTAGCTACTTATAAAATAATTATAAAGTAATAATTATTTTCTCAAAGGCAATATCATTAATGTGTAAGTTAAATTCATCCACGTATGAAACATTTGTTGCTTTAAATGTTCATAATCGGATGAGTAATTTAATTTTACGGTTTCATTGTTATTTAACAATTTCAGTACTCCTCGAATTTATTCAAAACCCTTAGTTTGAAAGTAAGTCTTTGGCTTTGAGACTTTTAGGATTTTTTTTTTTTTTTTTTGAAAAACGATTGCCTATTTGGAACTTTAACTTTGGTGGCGGTACCCGATTTGTTTATTGAATTTTAAAATAATTTTTTTTGCTATATGCCAAATTTTAAAACATATTATTGATACAAATTTTGTTATGTAAGAGGTGTATATCCCTTTTGATTTAGGATATTTTGACGAAGGATACCATTAATTTATTATTGAAAGTTATATGGAGTAATTTAATTATTTTTCAAATAAGATTATAATTTAATTTGAGAGGGTTTGATTGATTGATTGATTGAGAGGTTTATAATTTAATTTGTACCTATAAAAATATTGGTATCATACAATGCATAGCCGGTAATTATTGTATGATACCAGTATTTAATTTGTACCTATAAAAAATTGGTATCATACAATGCATAGCCGGTAATTATTGTATGATCCCAGTATACAATGCATAGCCGGTTATAATTTAATTTGTACCTATAAAAAAAATCACGAAAAATGTAAAAAAATGATCGAAAAATACTATGGCCTGTTTGGGAATCCAAACTGAATTTGGGCCAAGTCCAGCCCAAATTTAAAACCACTCTACAATACTTTTTTTAGTTGTTGTTCTCCATTTCTCAGCACCACCGTTTCAACCCTTAATTTCTCTGCGTCTAAACCCTAACCCTTAATTTCTCTGCTAATGGATAATTTCCCGGATGAGTTCCTCAAAGCCGGCGTGTTCTTCATTGCAAATAAAATAAATAAATAAAATAAATAAATAAAATAAAAGAAGAAAAAGAAAAAACAGAGCATGATGTATAGCATAAAATTTATTAGAAGTAAATCTAGAAAAATCTAGACGTGTAATGAAAAATCTAGTGAGTAGTTTAGAAAATTCTAGAATAAAGTAGAAAAATCAAGAGAAGGTTTATCTAGAAATATCTTGTACGTAAATCAAAAGATATTTGATGTAGAAAGATCTAGATACATGTAATATTAGATATGTGTAGAAAAATCTAGAGAGTATGAACCACCACTATAAATATGTTTAATGTACATGGGTTAGAGGCGAGCCATTCATCAAGATTTATAGTGAGAGACATGAGATCTCACAAATTAGATATATATGAGTGGTGTAGGTGTCAGTAAGTCTCCACCAAAAATATTATTGTACAATTTATGATGAAATTTATGAAAATAACAGAGTACGTTGAAGTAAAATAAAAAATATATATTACTTTTACGTAATTTGTTAATTCACGAATAAGTTTTACGTAATTTGTTAATCCACAAATTAGCTCTGATTTATCTTTTAAACCCATGTTTGCAATTTTTAGAGTAAGCTTGGTTGTTAATGAACCACACTTTTGAGCACTCGAGCTCGAGTCGAGCTCAATTTTAAAAGATCGTGTGATTACCATTTACAAAAACAGGGAACTAATATATCCTTACTTCAAATGGGTTAAATTGTTGTTTGATGTAAGTTCACCAGTTCGAGAAAGAAATATGCCAAAGAAAGATATAGATCAGATAATACAGGAAGAACTCACGTATTCTCAATATCTTTTGCTAAAATAATCTGGAAGCGGTAGAGAAGACGATAAAAGTGGAGGAAGCTATGTTTGAGAGCTTCCAGAAATTCATCATCTGGGAATTATTTGGTGGTATATGATGAATAATTCTTGATTGTTTTATGGGTTTTGCATTTAGGGATATTAGTTTTCTTTATTATCTTTTTAATATAAATTGTTCATATTACAGTGTAATTTAGGATTTTATACATATTGATCATCTAGTTATGGAGTAGATTAGGTATTCTGTGAGTTGAACATTATTATTAATTTTATAGTATTGTATCGAGTTAGGGTGCCAATCAACGGGGTTATTTGTGAATTGAACTTGATTAGCTATGGAGGAGATTAGGTTCTATGGGCTCATTCTTGATATTGAAAGAACCTGGTGAATAAATTGTTTCACAACCTTTTTGGTTATAGTTGCTTTTCGGTACCATACTGTTTACTTTAATCTAAATTTACATGCCAGCAGTTTCTTCAAGATCTTCTGTAGAATATATGTCTGTAACTTTGTATATCCCTTACGTACTGGCAAATTTTTCAAAATCACATATGCTTTTGTAAGTCAAACTAGGTGCATTTGGGCCTTAATTTTTATTTATTTTTGGTTCTTTTAATCTTATAAAATTTTGATGGCTCGTTTTTCTCTGTGGTCTAAAGGCTGGCATCCATATTTATGGGAGAGCATCAGCTAAAGGAAAGCGCGTTCAGATGTATACAAATCACTTGATCATGCAGGAATCTAATCATGCAGGAATCTAATCATCTGCCTAATTGTTTTGTTAATAGCTAACTGGCTTATGCTTCTGTATTGACCAGGGTAACACGGGTGCCAAGAATTATGGCATTGTCTTGCCTGATGCAACCACTAATGCACTTATTGTTGCTGGATTTGGTGTTGCGAGTGCGTGGTTTTATCTACTGTAGTCTTCGTTGAAGACTTAAAGACATGGTACTTTAATGCTAACCTTTTTCTATATGGTTTTTGTATCCCTATGGCTTCTTATGTGTGTATCTTGAATGAATGCCCATGACGAGCTTGAGCTGCTCAAGCCAAGCCTGGAACCTTCACGAGCTCGATTTTTATAATTTTCGTACACAGTAACAGTTCCCATATGTCACAATTTTGTAGTTTGCTTGAACAAAATTTCCTGGCTACATACTTGATGACACTTCACTATAATTTTATCACCCACCATTGCCTTGTAAAGAAGAAATTTGAGTTTTGGCAACGATTAAACTCGAAGCACAAAATCATTATTTCATCGCCCATTGTTTTGGGCAATGAATTGGGCCTAGGCATGGGTTCGAAGCCCAAGGCTCGAAGCCCAATATATCTTGGGCAACAACTTACTAATTTGTAGCACAAAGGTTATTATGTGCAACGAATTGGTTAGTTGCCTATGAGGCTATGAGCGGTCTATTTCGTCACCCATAATGTTTTGGGCAACTAATTTGCTCATTGCCCCATCTTTGTACAGTGGGCGACAAATTGTTTTTCGTTGCCCATAATATTTTGTGCAATGAATTTGCTCATTGCCCTATATTTGTTACTTTGGGCGACAAATAATTTTTCGTTTTCCATAATAGTTTCGGCAACGAATTTTCTCGTTGCCCATATTTGTTGGTATCATAAAATATTGGTATCATACAATGCATAGCCGGGAAAGCATGGAAGGATTCCTTGAGTGGTTATATTTGGAGTTTTATTTCCAATTGAAAGAAAAAAACAAAGACACCGCCTCCAGCAGCTATCTAAGATGAGGTGTTTAACTCCGAAACTATGTCCGACTCATCATATAGGCCTTTTATTTGGGGCTGTGAGCTTGTTAGAGGCCATACCAAGGAACGTCGTCTACAAATTACGTGCTAACAACAGGTCTGCTATGGATGATATTCTTATCGCCGGATGCAGCGCCATGTCTGCTATGTCTTTAGGCTGCTGGCTCTATGGACTTGCTGGTCCTGGCAATATTGTTGTCTCTGCCTTGGTCGATCTTGTAAACGTGGGTATTGAGTCGTCGTCTTAAGTATTATTTGTGAGAGATAAAAATATGAACATATTATTAGTGTAGTTCTTTGTGTTCCAATTCAAGATCAATTATACATCATTCAAGATTTTTTAATTATTATCATTATTCACTACTCTCTTATATCATTAGAGATAGTCTTTTGCGTTCTACTATATCTCTATGTAACATAAAATTATAACTGATTAGGGGATTTTTATCCACCAATCACCGTCTGACAAGTGGACCAACCAGGTTCCGCCACGTGTCCTTCACGAAGGCCAACAGGAGCTTGCCACGTGTCAGTCACAGATACGTCCTCCACGGACCACTTAAGACACGCCACGTGTCCACCCATGCCAAGTGGGACAACCGGCCATCAAGGCCCATTTCAGTCTAGAGGCCCGATCAGCCCTAGGTTTACCTTAAACCTAGAGAGTTGCACGCTTCCCAAGGCTATAAATACTCGATTAATCCTCATTAATCAAAAAACAACAAAAAAACAACCGAATAATTAAGAGATCAAGCAGAGAAGAACAGACTTATTAACAACCGGCTAATCTCGCTAACGACGCAGATTACCAACACTAAGCACTCTCACCTAGAGAGATCTCATTACTTTACTTTCTGTATTGATTACTCCTTAATCAGGTACTAACTTGACCGTTGGAGGCGGAGCTCTCAGGAGTCTCCGTTATTTTGCAGGTACAGACGT